CAAAGTTGTGGCTTACCTGATTCCAAATGAAAGCCTCGCCTCAAAACATCAAGTGCCAGGGGTAGGCTCTCAGTCAGCAATGCACTGAAATAGGGGAGCACTCCTGTGTACATTAGAGTTCATTTACCAGGATGTTTATATCTTTTCATTTTGTACCCAGAGCATTCAGCTCTTGAGAGCTTCCTGCCCTAAATCCTGTACTCAGGACATAAGTATCTGTGTTTGATCCTGGGATGTGCTGAGCACCTTCAGAAGATACTGATAACCCTTGTGTACTGTTTGCTTGGGTGAGAAGGAATCACACCACACTTCTCAGGGCTGCAGAACTAGACAGCATCTGTTTTTAAAATAGGATTTTCTGTCATAAGTTCAAAAAAAAAAAAAAAAAAAGAAAAAGAGGCAAGAGGCTGCCATACATTTAGAACTAAACAATTTCTTCTTATCTGTGTGTGCAAGATGCAGCCTACTTGTAGGAGAGAAGTTTGCTTTCAATAAAACCAATGTGTCTTTTATCGAGAGACAACGGCTGTGGGGGAGGGTATGGATGGCCCTCCTCACACTATTAATTTTAAATCTACCTTTATCAAAAGTTAAAGAGCTTGAGATTAAAACTGGGGTGAGAATCATAGAAACTTGATGTGACAAATGGCTGAGGAGTCTGGAGTGGAGTGCCACAGCCTTGTTTGAGTAACCTGCTGTCACAGCAGCTCTGGTACCGCAGAGGAGGCTGCCAGACAGACCTGTCACCTTGTGCAATGTTTGTGTGAGACTGAACATTGAGGGCTGAGGAAAGCCTCCCTCTTCTACCTCTAATAGTTTCCAGAGGGAGTGTGAGATTCCCTGGGTTGTCCGAGGTTTTCTTCCTGCTGGCAAGAAGGTGGGAAGAAATTTCTGACAGTGGGAATGGTGATGGCTGCTGTGAGTAACAACATGCTGCCTGCTGGTAGCTCCTGTGTCACAAATTCACTCTTTTTTTTTTTTTTCTAGGCTATTCTAGAGCCTGCCAGGACCCAGAGGTAGAGTTAGATCAAAAAGGCTTCTTGAAATAATATTAAATTGAGAAAATATCTGGATCAGCGCTTGTAGATGTGTCTGAAACATTTTGTAGACATATTGTAGGGTTTACTCATGCACATGGTATTGCACATTGTGCAGGCTAATATAGCAATGTGATGATTTCTCCCCATAGTCTGATTTATTTGTCCATTTTCAATCTTAGGTGTAAAATTATCACCTTCTCCCATGCTACCCTATTTGAATATCCAAAGAACCCACCAAAAGATTTATATACAAAATAGAGATGGATTCATACAGTGCATTTCTGTGTGACTCCTGCATTTTATAGATCCATGAAATATTACTGACTCTGTTAGATATGTAACCTCAAGCATTATCCCTACAAACAAGGAAAATTCTCTGTTGTTTTATGCAAACTTGCAGAATTTTGTATGGCTATGCCTCTGATTTGTTTCATTGAAGGGAAAGGAGAAATAAACAAGGGTCTGTTGGCCTCCTTTTATCGTGGCTTTCTTCCTGTACCTCCAGGACATGTATTTCACCTGACAGCTTTTCACTTTTCACTTTTTCAGCAGGAAGCTAACTGCATGGAAAGCTTCTGGTTTTGAAGTTTTGGTCCCCAGTGTTTGTATGGGAAAAAATAGTGTGTTTGGCAGATTATTGATTACTATATGTTTCTGGGAATCAGTCTGGATGGTCAGAGAAGTTTCCTTTGTCCTGCATAAACTTAGCTTAAGGGTTGTTTGATTGAGTGTGGCCCTGCTATGGATGAAATTTAAGGCTTGGAACTGTTCAGGTATTATTCAAAGCAGGAGGAAAGCTGTTCAGTTCTGAACTTGTCTGGCCCCTGTGACGCCGTGACTGAGACAATAGTTTTGATTTCCATTCTCTAGGAAGGATCAGGGAGGAGCAGTCTGGTCTGCCAGGGCTCCTGGTGGAAGTGATCTGGTTTGGTGGCACGATGCATCAATATTATATTACAAATCGCTTCTCCCAAACTAGTCAACCCTTCCTAACCTGGGTGTTACAATGTCATTGCCAGTCAATGGTGAGGAAAGACAAGTAGGCAGCAACTTGCAGGACTAGATGAGAGCTGAGATACTTTGATATTAATCTGAGAGGAGGAAGGAAGGGAAGGATGGAATCCCAAGAGTCAGTAACAGGGCTGGTACCACCCCACTCTCCTGACCCATCTCTCTATTGGTTTTTATGTAAACCCTCTAAAATTAGGTACTGCCCTATGGTATGGTTAGATCACTAGAGATGACATGATAGCTAAAACATTTTATTATGCTAACATTAGCAATGGAGGTCTGAGCACCTCAGTGTCGAGAGACTGATAGGTGTCGGCAGGTCTGCCTCCTGAAGGGGGAGGCAAGGGGAGCCAGTGTCACCCAGCAGGTGTGTCCATGTGTCAGTGGAGTCAGGCTCCCCAGAGGGCTCTGTCAGCGTTCTAGGTGAGTCAGTACAGCTCATCGGGGCTTAGTATGTGTCCAGGCACAGGAAAACAAATAAGCTATTCAAATTACTTAATTTTAAGGATGGGCAATTCACAAATTGCCAGTGAAGGTGGGGATGGCAAATTCATTGCTGCTAGGGTGACCCATGCAAGAGAGAAGGGACTTGGAGTAATATGCACTGCCTGCATAAATAACACTGTCCTGGAAATGAGAAGGAACCATGTCCTATAAATCATTTGGAAATGTACCGAGCTCCCCCTAAAAAGCAGATTGGCTTTTTCACTCCTGCTTCTCTCTCCTTTTTTTGTACCTCACTCTTCTTTTTTGTTTGTTTGTTTTTCCTCACAATATATTTTTAGATTGAGAGGGTATCTGATAGTTTGATGTTTTGCTAAGTTACCAAGTTCCTTTAGTTCTTAAAATCAGCTTTCTGTTTCCTGATCTTCCCTTCACAGTGCCTGTTCCACATTAGCTGGCAATTTTTCATGCTGTTCCTACTTTACTGATGTCTAAATAAGCTTTTCTGCACTGCTCTTGCCATTAAAAAGGAAAAAAAACAACCAAACACTACAAACCAGCTGTTTACTCAAATAGAGGTACTGCCTAGTCTAACTCTAATGAGCCAGATTCAACCTAATTGAAGCAAACCAGGAGTTTCTCATTTATTAACTAATTATTCTTTTCCTTAAAATCTACCATAAAGCCTCATATATTTCTGGGGCCACACTCAAGGAGACAAGTTATGTCCATTAAACTCCCTCTGCAAAAGGACTGTTTAGCTTCTGATCATCAGCAGCCCTTCCGTACCTTGATGGATCTCTCGGATTTGGTGTAATTCTGTGTCTCCAAGTGTCCAATTCACATACCATTTCTGCCAAGGTTCTGGAAGCAAAATAGCTTGTTATTTTTGGAGGCAATATCTACACATCACTATCAGACAGTCCTTTCCCACACATTTGTGGTAGAGGACCTGACCTTGAACTCTTCCAGGGATAGGGCATCCACAGCTTCTCTGGGCAACCTGTTCCAGTGCCTCACCACCTCCACAGTAAAGAATTTGTTCCTCATATCTAATCTAAACCTACTCACTTTCAGACTGAAGCCATTCCTCCCTGTCATGTCCCTCAGTAGGGACTGAGCACAGTATTCAACCATTCAACAGTGTGATTTTTAGTGTTTGTAAGGACTTAAAGAGTGCAGCTGCCCATCTCAAACACTGTCACCACATAAGGATTTTGCCATAAGTAGAGAATGGAGTAATGGGATGATGCTGACTCCAGCTCTGGCATAGGTGAGGTCTGGCCAGCCCATTCAGAGGAAAATTCCCACTGCGGCAAACTGTGTAAAGAAGCAACTGCTCATACACATGTCATTGGTCAAACAAAGATCATCCCAAGTTATGGGACAGATACCATCTGCAACCATCAGCAACCACCAAAGCCCCCCCCATATATATCTCTGTGGATACCTGGAACTTGGACTGTAAGTTAAGCCACCACAGCAGGAGCTTGAGATAAGGTAAAGGTGGTACTATTGTCCAGGTGTTATCTCAGACCCAGGGGGAGGTTAAAAAAGCTGGGAGAGAAGAATGTATCACTGATAATGGACATAAAGAATGCAGAATTTATGGGCCACAAGGAAAGCAGACTCAGCAACTGTGCTGAAATCAGCTCTGGCTGGGTAAAAGGTAATCCTGGCAGGGGGAGATCACGACCACTAACTCAAGAAACCCACGGACTCAACAGAAGAGAAAGACTGAACATGGAAATAATTAGCATTAGAAGAGGGGAAATCATTGAACCAATAGAATAAGAGAACTGTGTAGCCAATGAGCATTAATTCCTTTGTTAGAAAAAATGTGTAAGTGGTGAAAAGTCTTGAACGAACTTGGGACAACCATCCCTGAGAAGTCCAGGATGGAAATTGGGATGCTGCTAGATCCACAGGCAGTGACTATCTTCTTCTTGATATCTCTCCCCACATTCTTTTTAATTTCTTTCTATCTCTCTACCTCACATTCACTGTTAAGTAAAATCCATATTATTGACTTACAGTCATATGGTCTCATTTGCACCTTAATTTGAGCAGAGGCATCTCTCAATAACCAGATCTTAAGAGTCCTTTTTTTTTGTTATTTACACTCACATTAACTTAGCTTTGTTTTATATCTTGGTCTCGCTGTCACTCTTACTGGCACAACCCAGAGGTGTGTAGGACCGTGGGATGGGGAAGCAGAGATACCTGTCTGTGTTTACTGCTGAAGAAATCAGCAGTACCCTGAAGAAATCAGGACTCTGCATCTTTCAATTGCCTGTATTTTGATCAGCAAAACCTTCCTCACTATGCACAAGCTACTATGAAGTAACATCCAGCTTCAGTGTGAGAGCAAAAACCTTTGTTTTTTTGATTTTTTTATTTATAAAGTCACTGTTTGGCAGTTTCTCACTGCCTTCAAATGCTCAGAGGTAAAGGGAGGAATGGCTAATATTTGAGGAGGAACGGATAGTATTTGTTGCTTAACTATTTAAATATTGACATGTGGCTTAAAAATAGGAGAAGAAAAACCCACCACAACCAACAACCAAAAAACAGGTAATGGGTTTTATGTTAACTGGAAAACAGAAAGTCTGGTGAAAATCAAATGAGGATGTCTTCAGGTTTTTTACGGCTTTGATCTGAAGTCCTCTACATCACTGTCCTTCTCTGCCATTAACCCAAGTGACCACCAGTGTCACTGCCTTGAGACGCAAGTCTTTGCAATGCACTTTTATGCACAATTGAACCAACAACAGGATATTCAGAAGCCTCTTGTGTCTTCTGGGTATGGGACCATTCTCTAAAGTCCTTCTTTAAAAAGTTGGGTTTAAATTCCAGGATAATTTATACCAGAATTGCTTTACACCACTGTGTTATCAAGGCCAGACCTTTGGGGTCAGATGCCAAACAATCAGCAATAATTCATTTATTAATAAATCATTTATTAATAAATGGTTAGTGTAATTTTTTTTAATTAAGAATTAAAACACTTTTGGCTACCTATAAAATATGAGTGTCATTTTTAGAGACAACCCTTAATCGTGCAGACCTTACTAGTCTGCAGATTCTCTTTACATCTGGATCTTTAACTTATAGTTTGACCTTAGACTGAGAGTTCCTTTGGTTTCGATGACTTTTCAATTTGGTTTGTGTTTTGAGCAGTTAAATATGGTGGGTACACAGGAAGATGCCTTTTTATGACTTCTAGAATATCTCTGACATTCAAATGAATTTACCAAAATTAAGGGGATGAACAGGGAATGGTTAAAATAAGAGGGAGACCCATCTCCTCTATGTCCTTAGACCTAGTCCATTTTGCAAAGAGCAAAATGAAGGTTGGAACTAACCTTGTTATGCAGTCACCAGTATCTTCATGTGCCTTTGATATCCAGGTAGCACTGTAGTCAGTAGTTTTAGTCTGGACAATGACTGAAGCAAAGATCTTCCCAGTATCCTCTTAGGAGCTGAATGTCTCTAAGTCTGCTGAGAATTTTGACTGTCTGGTCATCAATTGCCTGGAAAGGTTGTGGCTGCCCCATCCCTGGAAGTGTCCTAGGACAGGTTGGATGGGGCTCTGAGCAACACAGTCTAGTGAAAGGTGTCCCCTGACCATGGCAGGGGGGTGTGAAAGAGATGGTTTTTAAGGTCTCTTCCAACCCAAAGCATTCCATGATTCTATGATTCCGTTATATGAAACTGTCACCTGAGGCATATATGTGTAGTCTCCCCCAGATTTAGGTGGCTTAATCTGAAACACCAGCCAAGCCATTAGAAATCAGTTTCCTAATGGAAGTATTTAGGGCTGCTTGAGATGCTTCTGGACATGAGACACCTGATGAGGGAAGGCTGACAATACTATAGTGTGGCAGTAGGTAGCTGGATATTCCCTGAAGGAAATGCAGCCTGTGGAAGCATCCACTTTGGAGTAGGGAGTGTATGAAGAAGACAGAGCAGCTGAGACATGCTTTTATGGACTGACAGTGACTCCCATCCCAATCCCCCTGAGCTGCTTGGGAGGAGAGGAGTCAGAAACAGGGAAACTGAGCATGGGGACAAGGGGGTGGAGTGGAGGAAGGTGTAATTTTAATGTTTGGGTTTGTTTCTTAACAACCAATTGTGAATAAATTAAATTAATTTCCCCCAAGTTGAATCAGTTTTGCCTGTGACAGTAACTGGTAAGTGATCTGCCCCAACCACTTTAGTTAAAGCTAAAAGGCAGAAGAAAAGATCCAATATTCCTGAGCATGCCCATTTTCTTGAGTGCTTTTGAGACTGGATGCCCAAGATTCACAGACTTTTAAGTTGGACCAAGTGTTCACTTCTCTATCAGCATGTAATTTTTCATTTTTCCTCCCCAGGTATTACCAGATAAGAGCTGGACTGAAGATCCCATCCAGGATTCCCCACAGGCTGTTTGCTACAATTGGAGGACAGACAGGTGAGCAGATCCTAGAGGAATGTGACATGGTTGTACATGGGCTAGATGGAGGAGTTTGTGGGGGGAACAGGTGATCCTGGATTTAGATCCAAACCTGGATTTCCCTAATGTTCTGCAGTTGTTTCTCTCTCTGTTCTGGTTTGGGTTTGGGCTGAGTTGGGCTTGTGTCTGTCAGAAAGGCAGAGGAAATTCACACTGTCTTATCTGCAAGCATCTCTCTTATATCTGGCTCCTTACTGACAATTTTCCAGTTTAATATTTCTTTATGTATTTAGGGTTCTCTCTCTCTTTTTTTTTTTTTTTTTTTTTTTTT